AAAATCTAACAATAAAAGTATTAAACTCCAATGAAAAAAAAACTTTGTATGTGTCAAGTTTTACATGTTAGCATTGACACAAAAAAAATCCTTACTTTCAATGGTCTTAAGTGACACCTGACAAATTGTAACATCGAAACCCCCCCCAGGGGGGGTCACAGCCCAAAGGTTGAGAACCCCTGATCTAGATCCTGATTTCTTGCAAATACGGAATTAGCAACAAAATTTTAAAGAATTTATTTTTCCAAGTAATTATATTTAAATTTGTAGTCACTATTCCAGCCTTCAAGTGTCCAAGCGGAAAAAAGGATGAGGCAAGCTTTAATGGCTGCAGGTAATTTATGCGTGTTTTTTGTCATCGCTATCTAATCTCAATGTTTCAACGCTGTTTGTCCAATCTTTTATCAGTATCGACTATTCAATCTTAAACTAATACTTAGCGGGGGAGGGTGTGGCTTAGTTTAAAAAAAACAAAAGCAATCTCTGTAGGGGATATTTTATTAAAATAATAAGTTTTGGAAAGTACGAGGAATAAAGACAAATCTAGATATGCCAAGCATGTCATTACACACACATGACAGGAATCAATAAGAAAAAACTGTTAATTAATTAAGTCATAATTATTTAATTATGTTTTATATAGAAAATTTACTAAATTATACTATAGTTTATTCTTCACAAGCAGGGGAACAAGTATATGGTTAAACAGAGTCATTAAAAATTAATTGCATGATTGATTCAAAATAGTTGATGCATTTTAACTCAATATAACCGAGGTTTATAAAAAGTTTGTTTTTTTCAGCTGCTGCAGACGAGAAACTGCGGGAAACTTCCTCCGGGCTTTCTGGAGGAAACAGTTTTGCAGAGTCCCAGGCTTTTGCTAACTCTGTGGCTGCCATTGAATCCAACTGTTTTGTTCCATCAAGTTTTAAATCCTCCAGGACCTACAAAGTCAAGGTAGGCCTTTGAGTGCATTTTATAAGATAAGATCAGAGCATCTTTAAGTTTTGGAGTTAATCCCAACACCAACAGTTCAGAGTAGCGGAGAGGAACTTGACGATCCTTTTCAATGGCATAAACTGCAAAAGAGCCTAATAGCTCAGCAGTTTAAAAACGTATCTCTTTATGTTATAGGCTACAGACATTAGTTTAAAAGAGAAGATAATTATGTGGCATAAAGGTTGTCTTTTCCTTTTGCAACTTTGCTATATATATATCTGTGGCATTTTACATCTTGAGAGTGAATCTTTTCCCTTTGCAACTACTTGTGTGACTAAAGAGGCCAATCCTTGATACACAGCTGAGGTCACAGGTTGAGCATCTGCAATCACCAAGCGCTGTTGCACTTTCACTCTTCTTTCTATTTCTGGTGTGTATGGCATCTGCAATCCGAGACCCTTCCTTTATGCTCGCTCTACATGCTGATTTATCCATTGCCATTTTTTCCCAACTGTTAGTGTCAATTTTGAAGAGCTTCATGTTGAGTTTGCATATATCAATATACCTTAGAAGTGGATGACCAGCAGCACTCCTGCCTTCTGTTGGATCACCATACAGAATGTCTTGTGGAAGTCGACCTTGTGGCATTCTATGAATGTGACCAAGCCAGCCAAGGTGTCTGCTGCTGATAGCAGCGCAGATGTCCTGGCACCTTGCTCTTCGTTTATCTCACCAACTTTTTTTAGGCATCAGAGATGGAAGATATTTAGCTTAGATAATTACATCCTACGCATTTCATGTGTTATTTAGTCATGCAATTGAATCAGTGAGCATGAAAGTAGCATTATATAAAAAAACAAATGTCATGGGTTTGATTCTCATACTTGAATTATTTTTTATTCTAAGGCAATCCAAACAGATTTGATCTGCTCCTATCCATTTCACCTTCACATATTCTTAAGTCTGTTGGAACATTGTCTGTACTTTAATGTTCTTAGCTTTCATTTTGTGTTTCAGGAAGAGTCAACAGACTTGACATCTTCACATGATGATGCCATCTTTGGGTCTCTCACTGTCACTGGGTTTACTATCAAGCCAGACCCAGACACGAAACCTATCCAACTGGATCCCGACTCCATTATCCATCCCAGTGTGAGTCTTATTTGTTAATGTACTTTTTAAATATTTTTTTTGTACACTTCCTCTTATCAGCTTGCTAATTCTTCATGTTCAAAACCCAAATGAACACGAATCTTAAAAACTGCTCAAACAATTTTCCTAGAAATTTTATAGTTAATATATATCTTTGGAGAATAATTACTAGCTAATTGGCCACTAAGGGAAAACTCTGGTTTCAGCATTATAATTTTTCAAAATATAATAATCTAATAATTAAATTTGTATTAGAGGTCTGGACAATCTATATCTTGAACATACATGCATCAGCGTGTATTCCAATATGTATTCATAAGGTAGGAAATCTTTTTTTTTATTTCATTGTTGCTTGTTTTTGGGTATTTTTTAGGCTTGGAACTTTGCTGGGCAGGGATACCAAAAAAAAATATGACTATTGGTAAATCGTAAATCTTAAAATAAAATCCCTCTGCCGTAGCAAATATCTCTATGGCAAATTCATTTTAGATTGTCAAGAATGAGATGCATCTTGTTGTTTTTGTTGGCCCAAATTTTTTTTTCTTTTTTAGCAGGCTATTCTTCTTAACATTTCTATTAGCTGGCTAGGTTTTTATTAACACTCATTAGATTTCACCTTTATTTTTTTTGTTTCTATTATGTTTGCTAAAGGAATAAAAAAAGAATTGTTAATTTTTAGAAAGGATGGTTATTGAGAGGGTAAAGTTTAGACTGAATCTTTGCTGTTTCCCATTTTTTCTCAGCATCTTAACAACATAAACATCTCAACAACATAAGCATACACCAACACAGCTGAAACTTGTATTTACTATTATTTTTAAGCTGTATGTATTGTTATAAAAAGGAATTAGCTAAGTGGGTAGGGAAAGCCATGTGTTTCTGTGTGCATAAAAACAAAAGGTCTGTACATTAGAGTGGTCCAATGTTATGATGAACTGCTATTTGAGAATTGATGTTTGAACATGCATCATGCAAATCAGCTGTGTTGGGATCATTTAGAAAGGATAGATGACTGAGACCGACCTTTTATGAAAAGAGAGGCAGAGCCAAGTCAGTGCGATACTTGTGAATCCCACCAAGCTCAGGACAAGATTAAGTCCAGATCATTTCATTACTTCAGTATGTTTCAGTTATGGTTCTCTACAGTGGCATGATTGTACAGTCAATATTTCATGCTTATAATTTGTACATTATTAAGGTTATGTAACACACAGTTTTTGAGCTACCATACCATCTTATATAAAATGAGTGGCAGATTCAAGACAGTGCAGTACATTGAGTCCCACCAAGTTGAGGATGAGACCCAAGTCATCAATACAGTTCAGTTAAAGTTCTCTACATCGATATGATTGTACAGTCAACATTTCATGCTTATAATTGCAACACACACTTAATAAACTACCGTGCAATCTGAGATAAAGTTGTCAAGTTCTCGAGATAGTTGTGTTAAGTTGTCCACTTTTAACTGAGAACCAGATAGTTGTGTTCACTGTTAGCAGAGAGCCAGATAGTCATGTCCACTGTTAGCAGAGAGCCAGATAGTTGTGTTCACTGTCAGCAGAGCCAGATAGTCATGTCCACTTAGCAGAGAACCAGATAGTTGTGTCCACTGTTAGCTGAGAGCCAGATAGTCGTGTCCATTGTTAGCAGAGCCAGATAGTTGTGTCCACTATTAGCAGAGAGCCAGATAGTCGTGTCCATTGTTAGCAGAGAGCCATATAGTTGTCCACTATTAGCAGAGAGCCAGAAAGTCGTGTCCACTGTTAGCAGAGAGCCAGATAGTCATGTCCACTGTTAGCAGAAAGCCAGATAGTCATGTCCACTGTTAAATTAAATTATAGTTTTTATAAAGCACTACTTTTATGCTTATAGCTTGCTCAGATCACTATGGTCCAATCTTCTTTGTGGACTGGTGGGGTGATCAGGTATCTGGGAGAAGGTTTTTCCATGCTGCCTTTAGGCACTCAGTAAACACAACTCTGCTCGAGTCTGGTGTCGAACCTTGAGCCCCCTTCATATGTAGCCAAGCCAAGTTCAAGCGTACTTAGCCTCTCAACCACGCATTTAACAGGGAGCCAGATAGTCGTAGCAATTACTACATTTCTTTTCTTCTGTTTCAGCTTTATTGTGACCCTGAAGAAAAGATGGAGAGATGGATCCAGAGACTGACACAGCTGAGGAGGAGAAAGCTAGAAGGGGAAGCTATTTCTTAATGAACTGCCTTTCTTGTATATAAAACTTGTGTATCATGTCCATTACATCCTCTTATTTCTATATGTAGAAAGTTTTCTTTTGTGCCCAGAGGCCACCTTTTTGAGTTTCTTTTATGTACAGTACTGCTTTTAGTTGTCTAAAATTCATTGTAACAAAATGTCCTTTAGATACCGGTATTTAAAAAAAAAAGTAGTTCAGAGATCTCTTGCCAAATCACACTTCAACTTTCACTGCTGCTCTATTTCACAGATTTTGTGATGGAATCAATGGGAAAAAATTATTTGAGAATTTTCTGTGAAATTCGATTGCTGGAAAATGTTTTTTTCCTGAATTTTTTACATGAAAAAAAAAACACCAAAATGTATAAAAGTATTTTGCTAATATTAATTTTAGCCTGCCCCTATTCAGAATTTTATACAACAAACGATTGGATTCTTGTTTGCATTGTATCCCAGCCTCCTGATTTGTTTAGTACTTGTGTGTGAGAGATTTGTTCCTTTATTCTATTATTATTGTATTTTGTCTACAGTATGTATGTAGAGATCAGTAGCTAGGTTCATGAAGCCTACACTCAAGAGGTCTTAGTACAGTGTATAAATACTTAACTGTGTATATTTTCTACCCCATGGATTTGAGATAATCAGATATTACTTAAGCATATTTGCCGAGATAAAATGAAGGATCTCTGTACAGCTTTTTATCACACCAATGAAAAAAAAATCTTGTTTTATCAAATTTTCCAATTAAATATTATTATTTATGCTGACATTCAACTTATAATTGACAAATCAGAATGTCAATCTAGATGTCAATGTCAATCTAGATGTTAATCACCTTTCCAATTGAGAAAGTAAATCAAATAGTAAAAAAAGCATTTCTTTAGGTAAATGAAGATAAGTACACTTTGTGTCCGCATGACATTTCTCTGACATTGTGCTGCATTAAGTTCAAGGCTCTGTCCTGCACTTTCTCTTTGAGAAGTCAATTTTAATCTCAACTCCTTCTGCATCGTTACTAAAATTAGATGTTATTAAATAGTATTACAATGGTGTGTTGTCATTGTCGAGGCCACACACTGTCATTTTATTTTTGAGTTCTTAAGATGTAAAAGAAACATTATTTTTGTTTGAAAGTGGATAACAAAATTATTACCAAATTGTATTCTGGTATTGTTATAGCAAGCTCATTAGTATGAAATTTTTGTGTTGAATTTGGAACTGACATTTTCATATATTTTATTAAAAGGGACAGAAACCAAACAAAGCATGTATTTTTTTATTTATTTTTCAAATGTTAAAATCTGAACAAATTATTGCATGCAAAAATTGAATAACTGCAAGTCATAATTGCAATGCTTAAAAAAAAAACAACCTGTATGAACACCAAAATAAACCTTGAAAACATAAAAGGCAGTACAAACAAAGGTTTAAAACTTCATGATTACACTTTGTCATTCAAAAAAATAAAGTTATTTTTGCTTAATTTTAAATATTCATAAACAAATAGACCACTTTCATCAACGTATTATATCTAAATAATATATATAAGATATATATAACAATCAACCTAGACTCTTATATCAGTATTCTATGATCTATACATCTAGAATCTGTATATCTAGATCTATTCCTATACACTGATTATAAAGATTTAATGTTTCTGATGAGCAATACTACTGTCGACAGCCATTGCCAATTATACTACTCATGTACTAGATCTGGCTCTATTGATCACTACTCATATCTTGCCTAGATAAAAACAACTGTACTAGTTTGGACTAGACATTCTAATTGGTTCTATTTTCTTTTTTTGATTATTCTCACGCATTCCAGTAGGCTGAGTAGTTACCAAATTGTGCTATTATTCACTGTAGATCTAGATCTTAATTTTTAAGTATCAAAGAAGTACACAAAAGATGTTGAATGGTACTCTAAGTGCTCTAATTGCTACCTTTCAATGTGTGAATACAAGTATTTACCCAGATACTGCCACAATATGTTTATTGTTTTCAAAAGAGTTTGCACCCAGTGCCAGAAGCTTTATAAATACATTTAACAGTAAGTATTTAATTAATTCATAATTTATTTTTAAACGGTATGTAAGTCTATTTTAATTGTAAGAATCCATGTGCTATTTTATTTAAAGCTAATTTTCTAGGTGAATATTTACACAATATTGTTATGTTGTAAATAAAACATTATATTCCCTTCAGCCTGTGCAGGGTATTTTGAAAGTGATAATTGGTTCATGCAGGCCAATACCATTGATATCTTTATTTTCCTTCAAATTATACTTTCTTGCATAAGAATTAAATATATATTGCAACAATTGTCAATTAGAAGTACAGATTAACCAGTTATCTTGGTGGAAAAGGATGTCAGATGAGTTGAGAAAATGCTTAAAGAAAGTCTTTACATAATTCTTTGAACGAAGACACTATAATTTTTTTGAGATTTTTAAAATTTAATAAGAATTGTATTATTGCTCACATTAAAAGCAATTGATCTTTTCTTTTCCGCAGGTGTATATTTCAAGAAGAAATTATTCTTCTTTATCCCTAAGAGTTTATCAATAGGATGGATGCCACAAAACTCACTTGCTATGTCAGAAACTCTTCCTATGAAACTTCCAGTAAGTAAAAAAAAAAAGTCAAGTTTCCCTTTCAGACCTTGTGGTCTATAGGGCAGATGATATAAAGATCATGTTTTTGTGGCCTATGGTTAACCAGGATGTCATGTGGCCTCCACAACGACCAACCGCCTTTACTTTCCCCTTCTATTGTCAGGTACCCATTAGAGCTGGGTTGACTCAGACTCAAATAAAAAATCCATCTTCACCAGGATTCGAACCCTGGTTCGGTAGCCAAGCGCTTTACTGCTAAGCCACAGCACCTCCTTCCAGTAAGTAAGGCAGCTTAAAATTTAATACTTTAATCTTAGTGCAAAAAGAATAAAAGCAGTTCAAATTCTCCCTTTAAATTTGCAAAGATATGTTCATATTTTAATGTATGCAGTAAAAAAATTGTTTCAAACACTCAGTACAATATTCAATGACTCTTTTTATCTGGGTTACCTCAGCATGCTTGTGCAGAAAATTTCCTGAAGTTATTTTTAAATCTGTTCCGTTCACTTTCAAGTTCATTTAATGATTCATTAAATTTTCATAATATTACTGAATAAAATGTCAAAGATTAAATATTGTTATTATTATACTATTCTTTTTTTTTTGTAATACGTTTGCATCTATTTTTGTTTCATAATAAATTCCCATAGCATTTTTTATGTAAAACTTCTAATATTCTTTTTAAAGAGCTGTTTTGTTAGATGTTTTCAGAATTGATTTATCTGTAAAGGACTTCAACATATAGAAGTTTGTTACTATATGAAACTAAGATTGAATTGGTGACTTGTTAGGAATTTAATGTATGTTGTTTCTATTCCATCAACAGTCCTAGAATTTGTACAATGCCTGTGATCCTCTGAGTTGAAGGAGAATGTGCTTCATAATACTTACCAATACCTTGCTGATAGCTGGAAGTTCATGAATATTATGTTGTCCTTGATTTGATTATTTTGAAAACTACCATTTCTGAAGACTTGAACATTATTTCTATAATTTAAAAAATATCTTCAGGAAATATTGTGTTTATAATATTAAGAAATTGAAGATAATATTGTTCTTACTAATATTAATATTTTGGCATAGTTATTTGAAAATAATAATCTTAAACATATTTTGTTCATTGTATAATATACATTTAATAAATAGTTGTCCAACTTTGAAAAATTGTTTACTCAATTATTAAACATTTTGTTGTTGTTGTTTTTTACTGTAAATGTAACTTGAATCAAGTTAACTGGCACACTAAAAAGATTTAAAAAACAATACTGTATGCTTTAACCAACATGAGACTTAAAGCTTATTGACTTAATAAAATAGAAAGCACATCATTACTTCAATATTCACTTGTCAATAAATGTTAGCATTATTCAATTTTAAGTTACATGTTCAGATTATTAAATGTTATTATTTAAATTATAGCAACTTTCTCTTTCAGTCAAGCTTAAGATACATTCCTGTAAAAAATCTAAAATAATAAGTTAATGTCAATGTAATATTGTTCAGACACTTACAAGCTTAATCATCTAGACTTAAAAAAAAATGTTTGTATGGTTTTCATTTGTTTGTACAACAAATATCTATTAATATAATTATCTTTTTTTAAATGAAACATTAAATACTGAAGATGATTATTTCTGATATATTCTCACATCACAAAACAAACAGAATATTATCCGAAATTTCATTGTAACTGTAACAGGCTTCATAAAAAAAAATGGAGTGACAATCAAATCAGGTTTTTGGAAATAAATAGTATGCTCCTTTAGTTAAAAAAAAAAAAAAAAGAAACATGCATTATACAAATTTTGTTGTTTTAGATAAAATTTCTCTTGGGTAACTTGAGTAGAAAGTAATAGAAATATGAACTTCATTTAGCAATATGCTCACACTAAGCAGAAGTGTTTTTTACTAGTGAAAATTGTTTGTCCAAATAAGCTATTGAAACTACTACTGTCAGTTTCACATGAAAAGTTTTACAGTTCTTCCTCTTAGACTTTTAGGTATTATCTATTAAAAGCAGGGTAAAAAAGGTTGGTAGATTGGATGCAAGGCTTCTTAAACTGGCTTGACCAAAACAGGACAACATATCCTGATTAGGGAACTGATATTTGACGACGATGCGGCTCTCACTACCATTCGCAATAATGATTACCAAGGCTAGTCAATAATTCGACAGCTGCGAATCAATAATTCAGTCTTACAATAAATCTCAACAAGACAGAAAAAAGGGCATAAAAAGTTAACATCATCAAACTCCATTTGAGTGAGGGCTTGAGAGGCTCAAATCCTTTATTGCAAAAGCCCTGGACAGAAACCCCGCTGTTTGCGTAGTGCATACATGTCACCATACAGGTCGAGAATTTTCGGTTTCCCTGACCTGTTGAGACGGAGATCAGCCAGTCTGGGCAGTCAAACAGAATATGGGGGCACCGTGAATCGAAATTTGGCCATAGCCGTGAGAAATATGAGCCAACAAGACAGTGGCCTGTCCTGCGTTATAATAGGTTGCCATAAAATGTCACAGAATATACTGAAATGTGTGATTCATCCTTTTTCTATTTTATCATTCAAAAGCCGCATGTAACCAAGCTGCTGTCTTCTATGTCAGCTAAGGCAAGTTGGCGCCTAAGCTGGTCTTTAAAGAATCTCCATGGGTCATCTTTGTTACGTCGACCACCTTTTAGCTCACAAAAAAAGACTTATTTTGCCATTCACCGTACGAGATATGTGTAAATTGTCCAATGTGATTTACTAAGAAAATAATCCAAACTGGCATTACAATTCAATCAATGTCGTAAACAAGAAAATACACAAAATACAGGCTTGGCTAATTAGTCTATATTGGCTAAGAAAATCAGTTATAAAGCTTTACAGTTATAGATCTAAGTCACAAAATGGTTTGTGCACACTTAACTCTGTAACATCTTCTATGACAATTAAGTTTCCATTCATGATTTGCTGTAAATGTGGCGGTAAAAATTTTCGGGAATGGTTTCTTTATATAGTAAAAAAATCTACCGGAAGTCAATTTGTCATGCAATCAGTGAACAGGACTTATTTATTGAAAAATATAGGCTTAGTGCGCAGAGATGGCAGTCCATGTAATCTATAGTCTATGATAGGAACTGCTAAACGCAAATGGGCACAACGCGGCAACGTTCCGAAAGAAGTATTACGAAAACACTCCATCCAGCCAGGTAGATCCACAAACGACCATTAATTTGGAAAAAGATTTTTTCAGCAAGTGGCTCGGATTCGAGGATGTAAAGAACACCTACGAGGGGTTGAAGAACTTTATTCTGATTGATAATTTTATCAATAAGTGCGACCCCCAGCTACAGTCCTTTATAACGGATTGAAACCCTAAAACAATTGAATGGCGTGTTATTCCAAGTCTAGTCACCTCTTTTGCAGGTGAATTCAAACACCAATTAAGACTTTTTAACGTAGAGAGTAAACTGAGCTGAAATTGATAAAATGGATATCTTGAGCTGATTATCCTAATGACTATTATCAAACAAAAGAAAACTGACTCTAGAACTATTCGTGGGTCACTGAATTCGGTTATTAGGCTTTTTATTTTCATAATTTATCATTCTGCTAAAGAAAAAAAAAAACAACTATCATATATTCTTTAGTTGT